CAGACCTGGGAAATTCGCAGTCCATGCGTTACGGAGCCGAATTTCGCCGACACGAGGACGGTTTCCAAAGACCAGTAGAAGGCAACGATCGCAACGAAGGCCATGACCAGGTCGCCGAAGATGTAGAGCAGTGCCTTCACGCGCGGCCCGACATACTGCATCAGGACATCGATACGGATATGCCCGCGTTCCTTGACCGCTGCCGCAGCCCCAATCCAGGCCAGGTAGATAAAGGAATAGCGGACGATTTCCTCACCCCAGATGGACGAGTATGCAAACACCTCGCGCCGGACCACCTCAATAAACATGGTCAGGACAAGCATCACGTAGAAAACCAGCAACAGCCAACGTTCGCCGTTCCGGTCCAGGGCTTGAAGGACATTCGACATGGGCACTCCTCTGCCGTTCCCATCAGCTCGGGGTCTGATGCGGCGATCGCGCGATTAGGGTGTGTTTGAACGGAACTGAGACCGGCGCCGGTCGGCGCCGGCCAGTCAACGCAACTCGTTATGCGTCGTGGACGTAGTAACGGCCCATTGTGTTGGCTGCGTCTTCAAGGCGGCCGAAGGACTCCATAGAACCGGCGAGTTCAACCTTGAACTTGTCCCAATCCTCAAGCTGATATCCGCCCGTTGCTTTCCATTCCGCGAGCTGATCATCACTCAGCGAGTGGAATTCAACACCGGATTTGACCAGTTCGGCCATCGCATAGGACCGGGCAGCCGGAACCTTGGCGAGATTCTGCTGTGCCGTGATCTCGCCGGCAAACTCGATGCCTTCCTGCACGTCGGCAGGCAGCGAATTGAACCACTCCAGGTTCATGGAGTAAACTTGGCTGTCCGGCACTGCCTGGGTGAACGTGACATGGCTCAGGATGTCCTTGAAGCCGAACACGTAAAGGGCACCGACGGACGGGTCGAGAGCATCGGCCACGCCTTGCTTGATCGCGGACGGTGTTTCACCCCACGCCACCGGTGTCGGGTTCGCACCCACCATGCGGTAATACTGCTGCAACATCGCCGAACCGGGGACGCGGAATTTCACACCAGACAGATCGGACGGCGTGATCACCTTGTTGCCACCTTTGCGCACGGCGACGACCCGCGGGTCGATCACGACATAAAACAGTGCCTTGAAGCCGGAAGCCTCGATTTTCGGATGCACTTCCTTTTTCCAGGCGTCGGATGTCACCAGATTGGTGAAGCGCTGGTTGGAACCGCAGAAATACGGCATGTTGATGAGGTCAACAGCAGAGGCAAACGGCGCAAAGTTGGACAGGGAGTGCTGAGCTGCCTGAATAGTGCCGCCCTGAACGGCCTGCGCCAAAGCTCCGCCGGCACCAAGCTGGCCACCTGGAGCGAGCTTGACGTAGACTTTGCCGTTTGTTGCGTTCTGGATGTTTTCCTTCAGGTCCAGCTGCATGATCGGATAGCTGCGGGACGCACCGAGCACATAAGCGGTCGCAAGCGTCATTGTGTGTGCTGCAGCCTGTTCGCGCGACCGTTCTTCCTGCGCTGTTTGCGCGACGGCCTCATCGGACCACAGTGTCCCGGCTGCTCCGGCAACAACTGCTGCGGTGAAGCTGCCGGCTCCGGCCAGTTTCAAGAAATTTCTGCGCTCATTCGACGCGATGTCTTCAGTCTTCTTCATCATTTCCTCCCAAAATCCGAAAAGATCCAGCTACTTGCCGGAACGTTCATTTGCTTCTTTCTTCAGAACCGATGCGGTAAACGCGATCGAGACGGCCAAAAGCAGAATCAATTCACCGACATTTCCCAAAGGCGGTGTTGCACCGAAAGAACCGATCGAAACATTGACAACAAAGACCGCAAACAAAACGGCCGCCAAAACCAAAAGCATGATCAACTCCCAACGATCATTTAACCCGGCGAGCCAAAATGTAAGCGCTTACATTTTTTATTGCAAGCAGAAATATTTATTCTCTGAAATTGAAAATACCTGTAAGGCAGGTGCAGTGAACCAAACACCCAGTAGCGCGCGAAGCGTCCGGACGGATGGAAGATAACGCCAAACCTTCAGGAACCGACGTTCCCACACTTGCAGATGTTGCCGTTGCAGCAGGTGTTTCGACGGCCACCGTTTCCAGGTGTCTCAACAGTCCTGACCGGGTGACGCAAAAGACACTGAAGATCGTGATGGACGCGGTCGACAGGCTTGGATACTCGCCGAACTATAGTGCCCGTGCGCTGGCTGCAGGCCGCACGAACACCATTGGCGCGATCATCCCGACAATGGAAAACGCCATTTTCGCGCGCGGGATCCAGGCCTTTCAGGAAGAGCTTCAACAGAACGGTTGCACGCTTCTGGTCGCCTCTTCCTCCTACCGGCAGGATCTGGAAGAAGAACAGATAAAGACCTTGACCGTGCGGGGTGCAGACGCGTTGCTCCTCATCGGGTATCAGCGCGATCCCAAGGTCTACGAGTTCCTCGCAAAACGTAAGATTCCTGCGGTTCTGACCTGGGTTTCGGACCCGGATAGCGATCACCTGTCGGTGGGCTTCAACAACCGGCAGGCGATGAAGTCCCTGGCGGAACTGGTCCTGGAAAACGGTCACAAGTTCATAGGCTGCATCACTGCTGAAACATCGGCCAACGATCGTGCGCGCGACCGTGTAAGCGGCATCAGAGATGCCATGAAGAGTGCATGTCTGAGCAATACGTAACCGAACGAAGTACACGAGCGTTACGTATTGCTCAAGACCTGCCTCCTTCATGGCATCTCTGATGCCGCTTACACGGTCGCGCGCACGATCGTTGGCCGATGTTTCAGCAGTGATGCAGCCTATGAACTTGTGACCGTTTTCCAGGACCAGTTCCGCCAGGGACTTCATCGCCTGCCGGTTGTTGAAGCCCACCGACAGGTGATCGCTATCCGGGTCCGAAACCCAGGTCAGAACCGCAGGAATCTTACGTTTTGCGAGGAACTCGTAGACCTTGGGATCGCGCTGATACCCGATGAGGAGCAACGCGTCTGCACCCCGCACGGTCAAGGTCTTTATCTGTTCTTCTTCCAGATCCTGCCGGTAGGAGGAAGAGGCGACCAGAAGCGTGCAACCGTTCTGTTGAAGCTCTTCCTGAAAGGCCTGGATCCCGCGCGCGAAAATGGCGTTTTCCATTGTCGGGATGATCGCGCCAATGGTGTTCGTGCGGCCTGCAGCCAGCGCACGGGCACTATAGTTCGGCGAGTATCCAAGCCTGTCGACCGCGTCCATCACGATCTTCAGTGTCTTTTGCGTCACCCGGTCAGGACTGTTGAGACACCTGGAAACGGTGGCCGTCGAAACACCTGCTGCAACGGCAACATCTGCAAGTGTGGGAACGTCGGTTCCTGAAGGTTTGGCGTTATCTTCCATCCGTCCGGACGCTTCGCGCGCTACTGGGTGTTTGGTTCACTGCACCTGCCTTACAGGTATTTTCAATTTCAGAGAATAAATATTTCTGCTTGCAATAAAAAATGTAAGCGCTTACATTTTGGCTCGCCGGGTTAAATGATCGTTGGGAGTTGATCATGCTGTTGGTTTTGGCGGCCGTTTTGTTTGCGGTCTTTGTTGTCAATGTTTCGATCGGTTCTTTCGGTGCAACACCGCCTTTGGGAAATGTCGGTGAATTGATTCTGCTTTTGGCCGTCTCGATCGCGTTTACCGCATCGGTTCTGAAGAAAGAAGCAAATGAACGTTCCGGCAAGTAGCTGGATCTTTTCGGATTTTGGGAGGAAATGATGAAGAAGACTGAAGACATCGCGTCGAATGAGCGCAGAAATTTCTTGAAACTGGCCGGAGCCGGCAGCTTCACCGCAGCAGTTGTTGCCGGAGCAGCCGGGACACTGTGGTCCGATGAGGCCGTCGCGCAAACAGCGCAGGAAGAACGGTCGCGCGAACAGGCTGCAGCACACACAATGACGCTTGCGACCGCTTATGTGCTCGGTGCGTCCCGCAGCTATCCGATCATGCAGCTGGACCTGAAGGAAAACATCCAGAACGCAACAAACGGCAAAGTCTACGTCAAGCTCGCTCCAGGTGGCCAGCTTGGTGCCGGCGGAGCTTTGGCGCAGGCCGTTCAGGGCGGCACTATTCAGGCAGCTCAGCACTCCCTGTCCAACTTTGCGCCGTTTGCCTCTGCTGTTGACCTCATCAACATGCCGTATTTCTGCGGTTCCAACCAGCGCTTCACCAATCTGGTGACATCCGACGCCTGGAAAAAGGAAGTGCATCCGAAAATCGAGGCTTCCGGCTTCAAGGCACTGTTTTATGTCGTGATCGACCCGCGGGTCGTCGCCGTGCGCAAAGGTGGCAACAAGGTGATCACGCCGTCCGATCTGTCTGGTGTGAAATTCCGCGTCCCCGGTTCGGCGATGTTGCAGCAGTATTACCGCATGGTGGGTGCGAACCCGACACCGGTGGCGTGGGGTGAAACACCGTCCGCGATCAAGCAAGGCGTGGCCGATGCTCTCGACCCGTCCGTCGGTGCCCTTTACGTGTTCGGCTTCAAGGACATCCTGAGCCATGTCACGTTCACCCAGGCAGTGCCGGACAGCCAAGTTTACTCCATGAACCTGGAGTGGTTCAATTCGCTGCCTGCCGACGTGCAGGAAGGCATCGAGTTTGCCGGCGAGATCACGGCACAGCAGACTCTCGCCAAGGTTCCGGCTGCCCGGTCCTATGCGATGGCCGAACTGGTCAAATCCGGTGTTGAATTCCACTCGCTGAGTGATGATCAGCTCGCGGAATGGAAAGCAACGGGCGGATATCAGCTTGAGGATTGGGACAAGTTCAAGGTTGAACTCGCCGGTTCTATGGAGTCCTTCGGCCGCCTTGAAGACGCAGCCAACACAATGGGCCGTTACTACGTCCACGACGCATAACGAGTTGCGTTGACTGGCCGGCGCCGACCGGCGCCGGTCTCAGTTCCGTTCAAACACACCCTAATCGCGCGATCGCCGCATCAGACCCCGAGCTGATGGGAACGGCAGAGGAGTGCCCATGTCGAATGTCCTTCAAGCCCTGGACCGGAACGGCGAACGTTGGCTGTTGCTGGTTTTCTACGTGATGCTTGTCCTGACCATGTTTATTGAGGTGGTCCGGCGCGAGGTGTTTGCATACTCGTCCATCTGGGGTGAGGAAATCGTCCGCTATTCCTTTATCTACCTGGCCTGGATTGGGGCTGCGGCAGCGGTCAAGGAACGCGGGCATATCCGTATCGATGTCCTGATGCAGTATGTCGGGCCGCGCGTGAAGGCACTGCTTGCCATCTTCGGCGAGACTCCGGCTGCGGCTTTCATTGCGATCGTTGCTTCTACTGGTCTTTGGAAACCGTCCTCGTGTCGGCGAAATTCGGCTCCGTAACGCATGGACTGCGAATTTCCCAGGTCTGGTTCCTTTCTGCCGTTCCATTCGGGTTTGGTCTGGTCTTGTTCCGCCTTGCCCAGTCACTCCTGCGCGATCTGCGCGACTTTCGTGACGGTCGTCCCGTCTACGAAGGCGACAAACTGTTCGACTGAGGGAGGCGACCATGCTTTGGCAACAACTACAGCAACAAACCGTCGAACTGGGGTGGTCTTTCTACGGTCCCGTTCTGATCTTCGTCGGTCTCATCGCGCTCGCCGTTCCAGTCTGGGCCGCTATCGGCTCGGCGGCAATCGCAATGCTCATGATTTCCGGTGCCTTGCCGCTGTCGCTCGTCGGCGAGAGCCTTTTCCACGGTATCGATCACTTCGCCCTGACCGCCGTTCCACTGTTCATCCTGACCGGAGACGTGCTTGTACGTACCGGGCTCAGCCGCAAATTTCTTGATGTTGCTGAAGCGCTCACCTGCTGGGCAAAGGGCGGGTTCGGATCTGCGACGGTTCTTGTCTGCGGCATGTTCTCCGCCATTTCCGGCTCCGATGCCGCCGGTGCGGCTGCTGTTGGCCGGATGACAATCGAACGACTGGTGGAAAGCGGCTATCCACGCCCCTATGCCTGCGCTCTTGTTGCGGCTGGAGCGTGTACGGGGATCCTTATCCCGCCGTCAATCGCATACATCATCATCGGTCTGGTTCTTGGTATTTCCGCTTCGACCCTGTTTCTTGCCGCGCTGATACCCGGCATTGCGATCCTGCTTTCAATTCTGGTGACCAACATCGTCATGAACCGGATTTATGCCTACGAGGGCGGCGGGCTCATGACCTTCGGTGAATGGGCGGCCAATCTCGGCAAGGCGCTGAAATCGGGCTGGTATGCCTTCATCGTCCCCGGTGTGATCTTTTACGGTATCTTTTCCGGTCGCCTGACACCGACAGAGGCCGGTGCCGTGGCGGTCATGATCACGATCGGGATGGGATTTCTGCTTGGAACGCTGAAACTCTCGGACTTCCCGGCCATGCTGGTCAGCTCGGCCAAGGTCAATGGCGTGATCGTGCCGATCATCGCGTTTTCCCTGCCGCTCGCCCAAGCCCTGGCGATCCTCGGAGTTCCACAGGGGTTCGTTTATGCCGTCACGTCGTTGACGAGCGAACCGGCGCTGGTCATCCTCCTGATGATCGGGATCCTGATCGCCGCGGGCTGTGTCATGGAGACCACGCCGAACATCGTGATCCAGGCACCGATCCTGAAGCCGCTTGCCGATAACATCGGCATGAACGAAATCCAGTTCTGCATCATGATGATCACTGCACTGGGTGTCGGCTTCATCACGCCGCCGCTTGGTCTTATCGTTCGTTGTGTCAGGCCTGACAGGTGAATCAATTTTGAAGATAGCCGCCCGTGCCGTGCCGTTCGTCTTCTTCATGCTCCTCGTGACACTTCTGATCGCCTATGTCCCGACGCTCTCCACCACGTTTCTTCCTGACATCTACAAGTAGGTCCACAATGTCTGTTGAATATCTGAAAAAGGCGGTCCGGACATCGAAGACCGACGCCTCCGAGACCACGAAGATCGTGCAGGAGATTCTCGAAACCATCGAACAGGGGGGAGATGCAGCCGCGCTCGACTATGCGGCAAAGTTCGACAAGTATGATGGCGACATCTTGTTGGACGATGCAGCAATCGAGGCAGCTGCCGCCCTGGTGCCGGACAAGCTGAAGCGGGACATCGAGTTTGCGCATGCAAACGTCAAGCGGTTTGCCGAAGCTCAGAAAGAAACCTGTCAGGACATCGAAATCGAGGTGATCCCGGGCCTTGTCGCAGGTCAGAAGAGCATACCGGTCGAAACAGCCGGGTGCTATATTCCGGGGGGCCGCTACAGTCACATCGCTAGCGCTATCATGACCGTAACGACTGCAAAAGTGGCTGGCTGCAAGAATATCATCGCCTGTTCGCCGCCACGGCCCGGCGTCGGAATCAATCCGGCGATTGTTCATGCGGCGAAGGTCTGCGGCGCAGACAAGATCCTTGCGATGGGCGGGGTCCAGGGTGTTGCTGCCATGACTTTCGGTCTTTTCGGACTACCCAAGGCGAATATTCTGGTCGGTCCCGGAAACCAGTTCGTGGCAGAAGCCAAGCGCATACTGTTCGGACGGGTCGGCATCGACATGATAGCGGGTCCGACGGACAGCCTGATCCTGGCAGACAGCACCGCTGACCCTGCCGTCGTTGCCGCAGATCTCGTCGGCCAGGCGGAACATGGTTACAACTCGCCTGTCTGGCTGGTGACCGACACGAGATCGCTGGCCCAAGAAGTCATGGAATTGGTACCAAAGCTGATCGACGATCTGCCGGAGGTGAACCGGGACAACGCGACGGCGGCCTGGCGGGACTATGCAGAGGTCATCCTGTGCGGCGACCGGGAAGAAATGGCCGCGACTTCCGACGCCTATGCACCTGAACATCTGACTGTGCAGGCTCAGGATCTGGACTGGTGGCTGGGTCGGCTGGCCTGCTACGGGTCGCTGTTCCTTGGCGAGGAGACCACCGTCGCTTTCGGTGACAAGGCTTCCGGAACCAACCATGTGCTGCCGACGTCCGGCGCTGCCAGCTATACCGGGGGTCTTTCCGTCCACAAATACATGAAGATCGTCACCTGGCAGCGGGCAACACGTGACGGTGCAAAACCGGTTGCCGAGGCAACGGCAAGGATCTCGAGGCTTGAAGGCATGGAGGGACATGCCCGCACAGCAGACATCCGGCTCAAGAAATACTTCCCGGACGAGACTTTCGATCTGACCGCCGATGCCGGGGCCTGATCACATGTCGAGCCTGTTTGATGTTTCCGGAAAGGTTGCCTGTGTAACCGGGGCAAGCTCCGGTCTCGGCCGGCGCGCCGCGACAGCTCTGGCGTCGGCGGGAGCATCGGTCGTCGGCGTGGCCCGCAGATCTGCGGATCTGGAGGACTGGAGACGGGAAGCAGGGGGGCAAACAGCGGCTGTCACGGCCGATCTTTCAGATCGTGACGCCATTGCGGCCGTTGCAGGCAATATCGCTGGTCCGTTTGGTCCACCGCAGATCCTTGTGCACGCTGCCGGGATCAATACCCGTGAAACAGCTGACGAGGTCACACCTGAAGGATGGGACATCACACTTTCACTAAACCTGTCCGTCCCGTTCTTTCTCAGTCAGGCATTCGTTCCGTCCATGCGCGAGAAAGGCTGGGGCAGGATCGTCAATTTTGCGTCTCTGCAGACCTCTCGGGCGTTCCCCGGGGGAATTGCATACGGTGCTTCCAAAGGCGGCGTCGGCCAACTTACAAGGGCGATGGCGGAGGCCTGGTCAAAGGATGGCATCAATGTTAACGCGATCGGTCCGGGTTTTTTTCCAACGGAGTTGACCGCTGCGGTTTTCGGCGACGATGAGAGGGCGCAGCGCAATGCCGCACAGACCTGTGTCGGACGAAATGGCAAGCTGGAAGACATGGACGGACCGCTCCTGTTTCTTTGCTCGGACGCATCTGCTTATGTGACAGGCCAGATCCTGATGGTCGACGGAGGGTTTACCGCAAAATGAAAGCACTCGTTTACACGGGTCCCGAGGCTCAGGCCTATAGAGACGTCACCGACCCGGTTCCGTCGGCCGGCGAAGCGCTCATCCGCGTTGCACATACCGGTATCTGCGGGTCGGACATGCACGCATTTCTTGGACATGACGAGCGCCGTCCCGCGCCGCTCATTCTCGGCCATGAAGTTGCCGGTACCGTGGTATCCGGTGAACTCTCCGGGCAGCGGGTCACGGTCAATCCGCTTGTCAGCTGCGGGTCTTGCGAAGCATGCCGTTCCGGCAGGGATAACCTGTGCGGCAACCGTCAGATCATTTCAATGCCGCCCCGCGAAGGCGGATTTGCCGACTATCTTGCGATGCCGGAAGCCAATCTGGTTGTCGT